TGAACTGAGTGAACTTCCTGTGGGCTTTCTGACAGCCTTACCATTAACTAAACCTTCCTATGCATAAAGTGGATAGCCTGTAACAAGTGTCACATGTAATAATCTCCCATAACCACTTGATAATTTCTACATACATTCCTTCAGAAGGGAAAAGGCAGTGGATGATGTCCATTGCTTCCCCCCAGCACATCTAGACGTTTTGCAAACACAGTCGCATGCACTTGCTGCTCAAATGCAAATCCTGTTCTATAAACTTTTTTATTGATCTTAGAGTCCTACTGTCCTCAGCATGGATACAGCTTCACTAAAGAAAAATCATCCTTCTCTACGCTTTCATTTCTATTTAGCATTAGCTTGTTAATGGGAAAAACACAACTTATAATTTGATCATCTCTTGTATATTACAGCTCTACTAAAATCTTTTTGTACTGGCTTTGGCTGGAATAGAGTTCATTTTCTTCAGAGTAGTTGGTATGAGGCTGTGTTTTAGATTTGTGCTTGAAACAGCGTGGATAATTCAGGGAAGTTTTCCTTACTGCTGAGGAGTACTCACACAGAGTCAAGGCTTTTTCTGCTTCTCACCCCACCTCACCATTGATGGGGCTGGGGGTGCACAAGCTGGGAGCTGGGTGGGGACACAGCTGGGACAGCTGATCCCAACTGACCCAAGGGATATCCCACAACATATGGTGTCATGCTCAATATACAGAGAGGGGGAAGAAAAAGAAGGAGGAAGTGGGGGGAGTGATGGTATTTGTTTTCCCAAGACACCATCACTTGAGCCCTACTCTCCTGGGGATGGCTGAACACCTGACTGCCCTTGGGAAGCAGTGAATTAATTCCTTGTTTTGCTTTGCTTGTGAGTGTGGCTTTTTCTTTAACTACTAATCTCCACCCACAATTTTTCTCACTTTCACACTTCAGATTCTCTCCACCATGCTGCTGAAAGGGAGAAAGCAACTCTGTGGGGCTGAGGTCCCGACTGGGCTTAAACCACCACACTTTTCCTCAGTAAAGGGAATTTAAAAGCTACATTAATGTGTTTGAAATGGGTGATCACTGATGTAAATAAAAGTGAGCTGAAGATGGGAGCAACAACACAGTTTTTGATCTGAAAAGGCATTTCTGCAGGTAATTTCAACTGAAGTCAGCACACACACATTCCTTCTCTGTGCTAAGGAGCAGGGTTGCTAAATCCAAGTATATTCAGAGAAAGTCCCCACTGATCACAATAGTAGAAATGATGCCATCCATAAAAACCTTCTTAAATCAAATATGGGGATGTAAGGGTCTGTTCAAGAACTAAATTGCAAAGCTACAATATAATAAGCAATTTACATTTCATTATAACCTATTTAATTTATCTATCTACTGATTCCATGCTTACATGCCTTCTAATTCATTTTCATATTGCTGATAGGTCACCTAATTTCACACTGGCCTCTCTTCCTAGCAGAGGCTCCTTTTTGAAGCATAGCACACTTAATCCTATGCTTCAAATCCCTCCTGATAATTCTCTGTTTCCGTTCTTTCCTAATGCAAACTGCTTGACAAAATAAAACTATTCACAGACATTTCTGTGAACAGGCAATGAAATGTTAAAAAACAGAAACTTTTGTTGGAACCTTTGATCACAGGGTAGGATTCAAAATTCACTGAAATGTATGACTTTTCATTGGTTATCTAATTATGCTTTTTAAGTGTGAATGTAGGAATATGCATACATTTAAATTCCAGACTACATACCAGTTGGAGAAGGTCTTTATTGATTTACCAGCCCTTGTGGATCATCTCCAGTGTCCATTGATACCAGTGCAATGATATCATGTGTACAATGTCAACAGCAGCTCTAAGAAATCTTTACCTGAAAAATATCTTTCCTAATATATATTTGATAAACTCAACAGCTGGCATCATTTTCACAAACCAGTCTGCTGTTCATTTCCAGAGTATTGCAGTTGTTTTAATAGCAGCATATTAACAGCTGTCTAAAAATGGCAAAATGTAAAATTCTTGGAGATGACATAAAGGACAACTACACATGCAATGAATGCATATGCTTAGAGAAGTCTGCCAATAGAAAAATATTTCCACTGAGGAGGAAAATAAATCCTAATAGGACTACAGCAAGGTGTACTGGCAAAAATAAAGACATTAACTCCTCCTTCATGAGGAGCTTTTACTGTCAGTTGAAGCCCACAGCCCTACTTTCTCCCCATGCATGCTGAAACCAGCTCTACCTGCAAAAGGATGCCCATAAATCTGGTCTCACTGTGTAACTGGCATAGCATTGCTTCTCTTCAAAAGGTGAGAATCTGAGATTTACAGCCATGGCTGTATAGCAAAATGCTATTAGCAGTAGAAGATGAGACCACAGTCTGTTAGAATGGATACACCTGAAGTGAAGGAAAATTTCATCCTTAAGCAAGAAAATTGAGAGTATATGATTTAGGTGGGATTGAGCTCCAGATTCTGACACCTGGGTTTAAACACCTGCATGTTTTGGCTATGTGTCAAAGCTGCCACTGAGCTCTGGGGCCATTTCTTTAACAAGACCAGCACCCCTGTAGATCTCCTGCCAGGCACATTCAGCTTTCAGCTGTCATAATCACAAAATGCAGTGTACCACAAGTCTTCAGTCATTTTGGCCAACCCAGTACAGCTATACTGCAGGCCCTAAGAACACTTAAATGGCATTAAGTACCTGTTTGTAGGCAGGGGAAAACACTCCCTTTTGACACACTCAGTGACACTTATGGTACAACTCATTAAAGGCGAGTGTCCGCTGAAGTGGACAACTCTCCAGGATCCACTGATCCTGGAAGGGGCGCAAATGCATCCTACATCTTGTACAAGCAGATTCTTAAGGTGGGTGAACTGTTCTGATGTTCAATCCTACATTTGGAGTTTGATTCAGTTGTCCATATACAGACAAGAAACGCTATTAGAGAAGATTTATCTCTAAGGCTGATAAATATTACACTGGACCTACCTTTCTGAGCAGCAGCTGGAGGCTGTAGGCATTTAAAATGGCTCCATGTGCTTTTCTTTGTGTGAGCAAATGAACGAACCACTTTTAACAGTCTTAAGAATTCTACAAGAACTAATAATATTTTAAAAGTAATACGGCTTGTTATTAATAAGTAATTAATTATTAATTATTAACTACTGCATATGGAAGCTTCAAGAAGTTGTTCAATTTGCTTATAACTTAGAATACTGGCCCTTTGTTACATCAAGACAATCAAGTAAGATCAGTCTACTTCATCAGTCTTTTTAAGCAGCCTTTCATCTTGTGGTACTCTTCTCTGATATTGGATCTTTCTGCCCAAAACGTGATCTTTCAAGGTAAGCCACTTACAAGTCTCTGTTTCTACTTATGATAGTGGTACTAAAAAACACACATGGTTGCTTTGTAGCTAAATGTCATATTTAGGTTACTCTATTAGGGTTTTTTATTCATTAAAGCATTCCTTTAAAAAAAAATCTCTAATCTCTAGCCACAATTTGCCGTTTAATTGTTAAAATTAGTACGTTTCTTTTAAAAGTTAGTTATTCTTGTTGCAAGAATTTTCTCCTTGAAACCATAACTACTATGTGAATACTTCTTGCAAGCAATCTCCCAATAATTAAATTGTACCTTTTAACTAAAGGTAAAATAATTTCAAAATTTTAATGACAGATCTCTCTGAGTTAAATAAATGTAACACCATAATGAATAAAGTCAAACTGAAATATGAACACTAATACTGATATTTTACTAAAATTCAGAAACTTAAACCCACATGTGGTATCTGTTTAAATGGTCAGTTTTGCATCTCCTGCTTCCTAAAGCCTCTGGGAGCTGCAGTCTGTGTAATACATTTGGGTACTCAGGGAACACCTCAGGTCAAGGACCAGAATCCCTTCATGGTAGATACCACAAAAGACTGAGTACAAAAACAAGCCTGAGCTTAAACAATAAATAGAAACTATGTGCATAAAGTCTAGAGAGGTTGAAATAAGGATAAGGCTTCTAAGTGAAGTTGTAAAGGATTGTCAAAGAAAGAATCAAAGGAAATAGTTACAGGCAAGAGAAGGAAGAAGCACACTTTTCACCTCTGTATCTAGAACTGACTACAAAACAAGATCAAATTGGTTTAGCTAACTAAAGGGTACAGAAGTTCAGCTGAGGTCTGCCTGGAGAGGGTGACAAATTAGGGACATCAACTTGACATATATGAAGTAACAGAGTTCTATATTAGTGATTATATAATAAGAAATTTGCTCTGACATTATAGTAATTTTCAAGCCTAAATTCCCAACCAGAGCTCAAAAAAATCCTTGTTTCTTCATAATGTAATATCTAAAACAGCAGCAGGTTTTATCCCTAATAGACTGGCCACTTTCTCCTCCTTTTACAAGCTATGAAAAACGTTGTCATTGAAGCTCTCATATTTTTGCCAAGTTTATGAAAAATCAAGCTTTGTATTTCTTTTGTCAAGTATTTACATTCCATTAGTTTTAAATACAGTTCTGTACTCTACATATATTGTTTTCAACAAACATGTTCATTACCAAATGAATAAAAGTACTTTGATTTTATGGAGCTCTTTCCTAATATTCTTCAGTTCCATGCTCTCAAGAATATGTTTGACATCTCTGAAAATAAGGTGGACTCAGATGTGTCTTACAATGTCTACCCCAAGGTAATTTTAATTAAATAAAATTACTCCAAGTCCACAAATATGCAATAATCAATAGGAACTTACAGTTATTCTCATGCATGATTTTTCCCCTAAAATTTTCTGTATGTTATGGATTTAAGTGCAGGTCTGTAACTGCATAAAAAAACTTGTGTGTCTTGATTTCCAGTTACCAACAAATACACGTAAGCAGATTATTTTTTGATGTGATAATGAAATTCAAAATGAACAGAGAAATGCCATGACAAAAAGCTGTATTTTAAATCTGATTAAAATAATAAACATAAGTGAAAAACATAAGTCACAGTTACTCACCTACGATGAGTAAGAAAACTACCACTGACATGTCCCGAGCCATCACATCCTGGTGTTGGACATGACATTCCTTCCGTCTTCACTGACTTCCACGAGAACTGTGAGCCATTTAGGTACCCATCCTTTTGCCTTTTGGCAGCAAGAGGACACCCTGATGCACTGCGATGGGATGCGTATTTTCCAGTTATATGACCCTGACCATCACAGCCAGGAACTGGACATCTGTATAGAAGATAGATTAAATAAACTTTATTGTCTTGCCATTATATAGCTGGTAGCCTCTACAACAAAGTCAAAATAAACCTGACACGAAAAGGAAAGAATAATCCTACACTGTGGTCGCAAAAGCAGTCAAGATACCCTGTAGTGGGTAAAATTAAAAGCAGAACTTTACAATTTGAAGAAAAAAAGTTCTCTGATAAATTCTAAGGAGGTTAGCCAGTAGATGCAGTCACAGCTGCTGACATTATGCAATTGTAACAAAAGGACTGAGATATGTATGTGAATTGCAGGTATTTATCACAGTAAATATCACAGTGGAATTGAAATATTTGCTACTGAGCTCTGACCAGCAATGAAATTGCCCATAAAACCCTATAAGCATAAAATACTACTTAGTAAAATCCTTGGTACATTTTATTTATAGGTGTGGAACCCAAAGAAGACTAGTCTGAAATCATGAAAATGTCACGTACACACAGTTATGACATGATCAGAGCACCTCATTAGAAATGCTGAGCTCCTTTAATCACTTTTTGAATAGGGGTGATGATATGAAACTATGTGCTACATCCCAGAGACCAATGAAGGCAGTTCTGTATTCATCTGATGGTTTTCCTTACTTGGGAATCTCCCCATACATTTGCTCTATATACTGCTCTGTATACTCTGTATACTCAAAACCAAATAACCAAGGTTAGAAGAAAAGGTCAGACTCTTCAAAGTGAAACGTTTAAAGAAAATTATGCTTTTGGGGTTTTCTAATGTGTTGCTATGTAACACACACCTAAATTAAAGTTCCCTGCTTGTGAACTAAAATATTCCCGCAATTTTCTACTGAGAATCTGGTCCTGAATGGTCTAAGCAGTCGCTAAATCCACCAAGTTCAGTGGACACTGATATGAGAGTGCCTTGCAAGAAGAAACCAAGAGCTACAGGTAGGCATTTATTTCTCTTGCGAACTGCGTGAACAATCAGATTGGTTGCAGCAGTCTCATATAGACACTCAATTCTCTATTCCCATAACTACCTTTATTTTGCATGTATGGTTTGCCTGTAGTATGCAGATTATTAATTTTCAGATTATTTTTCTGAAAATTAAGAATTTAGAACTATTTCTAAATTACAGATGATTGTATCCTTGGCTAATGCTGTATCCTTTGCTGAAACAACCAGCACAGAGACTAGATTTGCTTATAGAAATCAATGTGGTCATCTGCCCTTGGATAACTATCACACAATAACACTTATGCCTTAAAAAACCCTGAAGACATATAAAACCTATAAAATATACAAAGGCCCTTTGACAATATTTGTTCTCACCTAATTGGCTCTTGGTCTTCTTTGTCTTCCTTACTTTGTGCTATCCTGATTCCACTTTTCTTTGCTCGTGGACAGCCTGAAAGACTGTGTAGAAGAAAACATTTTAGAATGCAATTTCTCTTTCTTGGGTACACTTTACAGGAATATGCTTTCTATCCAAGAAACTGGCAAAATAGGCAATCCTGTCCAGCTTGCACAGCCAAAGCTCAGGTGGTTAAATATGGAGAGTTGCAGCAGCCACACGAGGGGGGATGTGTGGGTCTGTGATGCAGGACAGGACTGTCGGTGCTGTGCACACCACACACACAGCAACTCCCCCAGGAGTCAGGGAAGGCAGCTCTTAAACCCTCTGCCTAACAATTCCTTCAGCTGACTCAGCAGCAGCAGTGGCATCTTTAATAGGAATAGAAGCCAGTGTTTCAGGGATGAGAGACATTATGTCCCCTATGTCTGAGAGAGATGAAAGAATAGAAAAAACAGGAGTATCTCTTTGTTGGACTAAAGATTTCTCTCAGGAGCACATTAATAACATTATCAAATCTTCCCAAACATCACATAACAATTCTATAGAATCATTGAATAAAAACATGACAGAGCTCAGAGCTTTCAATGCCTTCCAGAGAAGGGGTTCAAGTGCTCAGAATTCACCCAGACAAAAAGACTTGGTAGAGAGAAAGTTATATGTTAGGCTAACCAATGTTACATTTAACTAAAGACTGAGAATGTTGTTTTCAACTACACAAGCTCATTTTCCCATTGCATATGAAGAATCCATTATAGAAACCACTCAGCAGACTTGACAATGACCTTAACAGATTTTTAAAGATTTTTTTAGGTTGCTGATATCTGAGGATACAAATATGTCTATCAAAACAATCATGCTTGGCCCTGTATTTAAATGTTATTTCCGTCTTAACTATCCACATTAAAAAAGAAATCCACCAGTAGAACACCTTCAAATGTTGACATGAGAGAGAAAGAAGTGTCACCAAAGAAAAAATTTCCTAGAGAAATAAACAAAATAGAAGATTAAATTTTTGTTTTCAGCATGAGGAAAGGTACTTGAGTGTTGTGTAGTAGGTCCTGTCTTTGCAAAGAAGAGTGGTAACAAAAATAAGCATGGCAACAAAATTTTCAGTTATTTTGTCTTGTCAAAACCAGTGAGGACTGAGGGAAAGAAGCACAGAAAAAGGTGACGCAATCACAGACAGAATTCTGTGTTAGAAAATAAAGAATAGACAAAACCAGAGCTTACATGTTGCAAAGTCATAAATAAGTCAATTAAAGAAAGTGAGGAGTGCTGGAACAGGATATTGGACATAGCACATTATCTAGAAACTTATAGTGACATATCATGGCTACATCTATACTGTTAAATAGAAGGGATCTAGAACTGTTGCTTTGACCCAAGAACAGAAAGTTCACAATTGTACAGCTAAGCTCTCTATCTCTGTAAAACAGAGATTGTTTGTAAAGAATGATCTGGAACCACACTGAGTCCCAAATCATATCTTAGAATTGCCTGTGAGACCTTTAGCGGCCCAGAGTCAGTGCCATAGCAGGGGTCATGTCAGCATTAATGGAATAGGCATCTGCACTCGTGGACCTGTGCTCTCATCCCATTTCATTTTCCATTTTAAGTGTAACTGACCATTTTCCTTTTCAAAGCAAACTGCTGTTTATTCCAGTTGCATAATGAACACAAAAGTACCATAGTTCTCTGTGTACAAACTAAATCTGAGAAAGCCTGTGCCAATTAACAACAGTTTTCTTCAAAAATAATAATGTTGTCTGTAAGAAAGAAGTAGGAGGAAGACAGTCTGGGGAATTCAGAATAAGAGAATTCTGTCTCTGGGGCAAGGGAACCGTTCAGGGACAGGCTGGTTCACTGCCTGACACACAACCTGGGCTGCAGAAAGTGACGGGGAGTGGACGGGAGTTAAAGAGAGAGTTAAAGCTATCTCTGGGAGTAGCTGCTCTCACTGTGTGAGAACAATCAGAATTTCTGTATCTGAAAACTAAACAGTTAATAGGAATTCCTCAGAAAGCAGTACTATTTTTAGTAGGTGTACAGATGGGTATGCTTGTAGATGATATTTTCATAACAAAATCTGAACAAAGAATTTCTGCCTTGACTAATGATTTAAAGCTTTCTACATATTAAGTCAATTTAATTATCACCTACTCACTGGTATTTTGGTGTATCATCTCACTATAAAAGAACTTTCTATTCTCTTTCTGTTTATTAGAAAATTCTAAGACCTTCAGGTCCTCTTAACAGACATTTCCAACAGACAGTTTCTGAGGCTGTGATTATTTCACTTTTCCTCTGACACTGGATCCATCGAGAAAACATATGTCAAGCCTTTGCTTTAATTTTTTTAATTTCTAACCAAAGCTATTACAAGATAAGCATATTACTTCATTTTTCTATGACTTTCATTCCTTATATATGAAGACAAAAGACAAATAGGGAAATTCAATAGCGGTGCATGGTGCTATAACTTCTTGCATAAATTGAAGGGCTGTGTGGAACTGCAGAGTTATGGCAGAGTTAAATCTGCCTCACGTATGCTTGCTGTTGAGCAGCCATTTTAAATACCAATGATAACCTCAGCAGCCATTTAGGAGAGAAGTCTGTCATGCCTTTCCTCGTGAAACTGAGAGGGTTGTAACTGATGGTGTCAAATACAAACAAAAATACTAACTCAGATGCAGGCAGAACTAAATGCTAATTTTCAGTCTGGGAATTAGAAAGCCCAGCTGACAACATGCTGTGGGGTTTTCCATCCTTAACAGCTCCAGATTTAGGCTACTGGTTTGCTGCCCTTCGAAAGCATTCATTTTGCCAGCCTTCCCACCTCAGAAATGGCCTTGACAGATATGATCTGAACAGGGTAAGGTTGGCTCTGTGTAAATGTGACAGGTCTCCTGGGGACATCTGTGGATTTAAGCAAAGAAAATGTTACTTCACTGACTACATGTCAGTGCTTCTGTGCCTGCAGGCAGCAGAAGGGTTGCCAGAGGCCTTTTTGGAAGAGAAATTAAGGAGTTATGTGGCCAATATAGACATGGTGGCATTTCAAAAGGTTCCATGTGTTAAATCTCAATGGACTGAGAAAATTCCAGATATGTTTGTGTATTAGAAAAACTTTTTATATCTTTGTATGTACTTGATTATGCTGCACAATCAAATGAAAACTTGGTCCAGCAGTCATCTGCAAAAATATAAGAATGTAAGAATTTCCAGACAAAAAGCAGGTAACACCATTCAGCTCGTGGTCCAGTCCTTTAGTGGCCAGGAGACAATGTGCAAGGAAAAGGTTTAGAAAATAAATCAACATTCAGTGATTCTCCCCTACCAACCTTGCCAGCTTTTAGGTTTCTTGTTAGTAACGCTTTTCTTCTGCATCTTCACTCTCCCACCTGCTTCTGGTTAAATAGATGATCAAACACATAAACAGCTTCCCTGAGGTTGGGGTAGAGTTATAGCAAGCATAATGCTGGTAGAATGGTAGCTGATAAATTTGCATATAGTTAAATGTAGTTCTAAATTTGACCTTAAATTCCTCTGAAAGTGTGATCAAATCTGCATCATGAAAGTGCTTTTAAAACACTTGTATCTTCTCCTTTATAATGTTATTTTTACTTTTAATGTTTAACTCTGCAGTACAGAAATTGGTATTGTGATCTTTCATTTTCCCAGAACATAAAATATGGCATGCTTCCAATCTCTTATTTTATTTATGTTTTGACTTTGAACTCTTTGCTGCTTTTAGTGGGAAAACATTTAAACTGGAAATTTGTGTATTGACTAGTTATAGCCAATTGTAGAACTACAGGGACTTGGTGAAGAAAGCAAATATCCAGACTCAACAGTACTAGTCTGTGTGGGAGTCAAGAGTCTTTATTAACACAAGAGAGGTAGACTACAATATTATTCACTATTATTCTTTGATTAAACAGTGGATAGGTGTTTACAAAATATGGCACAGCTCTCCTCAACTGATTTAGTTCTCAAATAACCACAGGAGAATTGCTAATTGCATGGCATTTATACCATTACCTCTACAGTGTAATTGATCAATATCCTAATTAGTGAATGGGAAGCATTCTTTGACCCTTGGTGAAGTTATAGTTAAGGCAGCTTTCATCCAAAAATTTCTTTTTCCGTTCTTCTGGCTTGATGTAGTACAAAGTGTTGCAATTTAAGAACAAGCCAAGATTTTTTCTGAAATGTACTAACAATACTGGTGCAATGAAAGAGGTACTTTTCCCCTCTGATAAAAGATGATATGGCTTCATCTGGGAGAGGCGGTAAAGAACAGGATCCAATTTTGCATTTCAAGGAATATGGAGCGAGTCTGAAAGAGACTGACACAAACATTCAGGAAATACAATTTGAGGGAAAAAGATGCAGGAGTAGGATTTCAGTCCAAACTGTGAAGAGTTAAGTTGTTCTGAATGTAAAGCAACAGAAACATGAATGCTGAATTGCTTCCTCAGGCTACTAAAGAAGGCAGAGAAACTGAATTTATTTTGTATAAAGATTTTGCTAGATATTAGCAAAAAGTATTCCTACCTATTTGGGTAGTGAGTCATCCTGAAGCTGAGAAATGTTATTCATTAGTGGTTAATATGAGTTAGACCTGCTTCAGTATTCAGAGAGTGAAGTTAGGTCAGCTGAAGCACCTTCCAGCCCTGCAGTTATTTGATTTAAATAACAAAACCTTGTCTTTACATACCTTCGATGAGAAGCATAATTTCCAGTTATATGCCCAGAGCCATCACACCCAGGAGTCGGACATCTAGAATAACAATGGGAGAGACACCCAGCAGTTACTGACAGGAAAGATATAACTGCCCATTTAAAAATATTAATTGGCTCATCCTTGTTTCCTTAGGTGCCAGTCTCTGTGACCCCTACCCATTGCTAAATCTGAGCTTAATTCTACACCAGGGACAAACATAGTTTTTCATTCATAAAACATTTTTGTTTGCTACTCCTCGGTTGCCCACTCCAATGCTTCCTGGATATCTCAAGTACTGGCAGATTAGTGGAGATTTCCCAACAATCCAACATCCCTACATCACCAGGAATGAGTAGGGTTGACAGCAAATGCACTATCCCTGTGGTGTATGTAGTGGCTGAATTGCAGTGAGTAATTTTCTTTTCCACTGGAGCTTTTGCTCTAATCCCACTGCACAGTGTCATGAGGTCACACCATGAAGAGACCCCTTCACCTCTCCATGAAGCAAAGGAAATGCCCAAGACAGGGAAGTAATGCTGGCCTCTTGCAGAGAGATGGTAACCCACCCAAACAGTGCCAAACACCAAGCTACAGCACCAGACAGAAATGGTACAGCCCTCAGTGAAATTTCTAATAGTTGAATGACATTAGAGCCACCAAAGAAAATGGATGGATATTTCTACATTGCAAAGATGATTGCGATCATCACAGAAAAAGCTACATTATAATGCTAAGTAAAATCATTAGCTGGTATTTGAACTGCTACACTAAATCACAGAAAAGACAAGGAATTAATTTATATGCATTTTATTGAACAGACAAATGCTACATGAATTCCAAAAAGTCACTTTTCTTGAGCCTGAGTTTTGAATTTTAGCCATGCTATTTAAAGCTACACTTGGAGAAAGCATTCAAATTCAAAAAAACTGGGTCACAAATTCACATGTTGCATTCTAAAACATCAGATTTCCATAACATTGAATTTTTCCACTATTTGAATCAGGAGTTCATGCAGACTTTGGCTTTCACTCTTTAGTTAACGTGTGCTTTCTTTAGTTAACGTGTGCTTTCCTCTAAGTTGGTCCATACTGGTAAGCCTTTGTTTCTCAACATTTCTACAGACACTTGAACATTTTTTAAAATCAGTAATTAGGCAACACAGGGGTCAGGGCTATGGAGTTGTCATGTTCCATTAACCTGAATTTCAGCTGTTTTAAGCTAGTAAGCATTACCTACTTCTGAGGACCTCAGCAAGCAGATTATTGCTACTGTGAAAGACATAAATTAAACTGGAATGTATTCAATGAAGTTCCCATATGATCTTCATCAGGACCAGTTCAGTTATTATATGGAAAACATCAAAATATGGTAGCAGTTCTCAGATGTGAGCTGGTAAAACTTATGGGGTTCCCTACAACACTGAAGTTTCTCTTCTCCATCCCAACAGGCTGTGAACTTTGGACAAGAAATCTAAACAACATGCTTAGAGACAATTCTCCTTCTCTCTTGCTTTGTCTTTGCAAAGGACCAAATATGGTGCATGTGGTCTTGCATGAAAAGTGTATTAACATGGCTCTTAAAGGCCAACACACAGGATGACATCACACATCAATCTTTCTGCTTATAGAAAGATAAAGTCCAGGATTTCTGCATAGATTCTTCTGATTTTAATTAGGTAAAACTACAATCCTGGTAAAGAAGTCATAATTCAGTCTGTATGCCTCTTACCCTTTATTCTTCATTGTGGCTGCACATGGCTGGAATAAACTTTTGTTATTTCTTTAAAAATAAGTGGTCAGGGGATCTAATATGAAGAGTCTTATAATTTAAATACTCTATATGTGTGTATATATATATATGTATATGTATTCTCTCATTATTTATTTTCAGACAAATGTTTTGAGATCTACAGAGAGTCAACTCTTGCTTCATGTGTTTTGGTTCTTCTTCAAGACTAGCTGCATCACCGAAGCCTGACTAAAGCTTCTAAGATGCCAAATCATAAGATATGGGGATAAGAATTAATTAAAGAAATTTACTACATTTTGGCTTTACATGTTCATAGCATTTAAATCAATAAAGGAGAACCCAGAGCCATGGGACTTTAGTACACCTTGCAGTCTGGTGTACTACAAGGATTTCTTCTTTATGAGTCCATAATTTGAAGCCACTGTTTTCCTCTCCAGACTTTCTATCCTTTTGAGGATAAGCTATTAGCAAAAGTGAACAATGTTTTTTTTTTCTCATCTTTTCCAAGACTTTTTATTACAGGCAACATGATTAACAGTGTCTTAACAGGGTTTATAAGAAGCACCAGTATATCCCATCCATCATCTTAAAATAAAACCATTGCACCTCAACCATTTGGACACACAAATTTAAAAGCTAGCTTATTTCTGTGTAATTTAAAAAAATAAACAAGAGAAACTAAAGAAGAAATCATCCTGCTGTAAACTGAATTGTGTATCTTCAGAAATGGCTTTGCACAATTCATATCAACTTTTGATCAAACCAGATGAGATCTTTATGTTGGCAAGGATTTCAGAATGACCTTTCAAATTTTGATACTATAATACTTGTTTTCAAATCTCGTAAGTTTATGTTTACCTTCATGTAACAGATGAAATAAGAGTTTAGTGCAGTTGGTAAGAACACTTTAAAACTCCAGATCATTTATACTTCTGCTGTTTCTATTCTATGGGAAATGCTCTTAACAGTGTGACACATAGGATGCAGACATGCAGCAGTCTGTTACAACTATGAAGCTATTACAATATTTACTCGCTATCCTAAACAGATTAGATAGGGAGATAACCCCAAGTTCTTGTGCTATTGGAATTGGGTGTCTGTATTTTCCAAATGTCTGAGCATATGTAGGACTTGCATATACCTTACTACTTTGCTATCATTTACTACCTATACATATATCACTTAATCATATGTACAAACAACAATGCCAGAAAAATGTATGCACTGCTTGTAAGAGGCAGCTGATGTGGAACTCTTTGAAAATGGCTATCAGAGTATGTGGCAAAAGAGAGCTGCAGTTTTCCTTGCTTACTTAAAGTAAATCTGATTTGGCAGAATCAGAAACTCATTTGTAGAATTTACATAATAGCTTATTGTAGCACAGGAAATACTTCAGTACTGTAATGAGGGAGGTGACAAAAGGAGCTGACTCTGTGAAGAGTGATGTTCAGGACATAGAATACTAGCACTTGACTACAAATTGAGGGCATCCAGTAAAAGAAAGGGCTTGTCAGGGAAGGGGAATGCAGTTAGCAGTGCCTTGATGTCTCATTCACTTCACAGATCATCCCATAGAAGCATTTTTGGGAAAATAAGCAGAAACAGGAAGTAGGGCAGGCAGCAGAACAGCAACAGCTGTGGCAGCTGGATTCAGTATTTGGCTTAGATTCAATAGCAGGAGAAAAAAGGGTGAGAGGTAAATTGAGAAGAATTCACTTAAGCCCTGCTACTGATTCTTCACTGTGGAAAGATTGAAGGTGTGCAGCAATTAAAACAAACTTCTGGCAGCTTGAAAGGAGGTTCCTGGGACTGGGGAGGAAGTGGATGCAATGCCCAAATGAGCTCTGGGAGGGTTTTTCCAAATGCCAGTGGTTAAAAGTCTTGTTGAAACCTCAGCTCACAAGACACCCCAGCTCTCACCAGCATAGGGCACTACAAATAAGACCCATAATCAAACCTATATTCATAGTGTTTTATCTAGTTCTACAGGAGCAAGATAAGCTTACATGTAGTGTACGTACTTAGATTTACGGCTTTACTAGCATGACAGTGAATAGGATTTTACACAAAGTGTAAAGCCAAAACTGCAATAGTTTTCTCCTCATTACTGTGTATGACTTTGGTTGACTTACTTTTTCAAATTATTTTAAAACATAAATTAGATCCAAAACATAGAGATAAAACAAAGACATAAAAAACTACTTCAACATTTTAATTTTTGTGCTGAGGGTATCAGCTCCCATGGAAAAGAATTAACCATCCATTTCTCTCACACTGGCCAATTGCAATGACTTCCTACAAAATACCTTTCATGATCCATCATTAGTAAGCTGATGGATCAGCACAAAAGACTGATGTTACCTTTACTGTTTAGTTTACAACATTTAGTATCTACTATGTTGTGCCTCCAATCTTCCCTTGTGAACACATGTATCAATAGTACAGTCGATCAGAGAGAATATCCTGGAAATCACTAACTATTTAAAGCAGATGTAGCTAGCAAAAGCAAAATCACATTGAATTGTACAGGGGAATAAATCAGGAAATTGTGCAAAGATTCAGAATGGTTCTCCATAATGTTCCACACTGCAAAAGAACTGGGATTAATAGAAAATTATATCTTTCCCATAGTTTTATTTTGACCATCTCTATAGTAGAGGTGTGGTTTTTCTATTGAAGATTCAGAAAAGCTAGAAAAATATAATTGTTTCCTGTGGGATTTTTTTCATAGCAGAATGTAGAATTTTTTATTGTCTGGTGGTTTCCATCTATTTGAGATTCTGTTTTGTTTCACTGAATCACCAGGAATGGAATTCATAGGTTGGGAGGCTGGCAGACAGACTCAATAATACTTGCATTTCTGGTTTTTGCCTGAAGATCTGAGAGTATTTTAAAAAAATTATTGGATAAAATCTCACAATGGTGCTGTGGAAAAGGGAAGGATTTGGCGGAGGAAAATTGGACAATAAAGAGTCTAAATTACTTTACATAGAAGTGGAAAATATACTAGAAGTATTAATTCTTATTAACTGCTCTGTTTGCAGCTAAAAAGCTGAATGTCTTCTGAAACTACATACAGATTCATAACAAGTTACTGTGGTTTGGTGTTTTTTATTTTTTTTTCTAGTGAGGTAGTCTGAAAACAAAAGGTTACAAAAGTAAAATTGTAAAGAAATTGTGTTTGCAGTTCCCTGAATTGAATATGTAAGAGAAGAGGAAAAAAAGAAGAGGGCAAGAAAAGGAAGGGATGAAAAGAAGCTCTGTCAAATTAAAAACTGGATTTTCTGTGGAGTATAGTAGGTTTATTG